GTCCAAATACCATGTTTGTTGTCAGCCTACATCTCCCACCTTCTGCAACAGCCTAACGTTGGTGTGTCCCCCTCAGGTCTGACGTGGGACAGCGTGGATCTCTGTGTGCGGTGGATGACACCTTTCATGGACACGCTGCGATCTGAAGCCACACCTCAGCTCAAGAACTTCCCCAAAGTCAAAGACGATGACAGACACAACATCCAGACACACGTGGCTTATCTGGACCTGCTGGTGAGCAACGCACACAGCTACAAAATCACTTCTTCCCCTGTTACGTTATCCAGATAAATTATAGCTTAAAAATTGGTATTTGTCTGATCAATGTGGATTGGGTTATTCATCTGTGCCATAGATGCCATTCTTGTTTGAAAGCTATTTGAAATGCACCGCTGCGCTGGGTGATGTTTCTTTATTAGGAAACACCAGACCCCCATATTTGTTTGCCCCAAAATCTCTAAATAACCAGAACTTCTTGCTACTTCAGAAACCACAAAAATTGGAACATCATTTTTAACAAATATGTGGATCTGGCCTTACACAGTATTGGGGCCGCACTGAAAAGAGAAATCTGATTTTTGAGGAGTAAACACTCACAATTTTGCGACATTGTAGTTGTAATTTACATTTTGCTTGGAAACATTGAAAAAATACATTGATTTTAGTTTAAGGACTTTATTGATCTGGTAGACTAATAGATCATTAATATTTCAATTGCTTCTCCAGGTCCCAGTTACTTAATTAGAAACATGATCTTGTTCTAATGTGACTTACTGAAAACACAAGAAGTCCGGCAGCACTTTGGCCTCTTATCTCTGCATTAAAGTTGCTCAGAACACTGCAAATGTGTTTGTGCATCTTGACAGTGGGTGAAGTTCTGAAGTATTTGAAATGTGACTTACCAAAGCGACCCATCTTCAATGGAGGAGTCAAGTGTAGCCCCGCAAAAAACATGTTTAGAACAGGTCTGTGTGAAATTCAAATGTAGCAGAGGTGAAAGCTGCAGTTTACATCGATGGCAGCCACTGAACTTTTAAAGACCTTCCTGTTAACCCCATATCTGCTGTAGTTCCATCACCCTGTAGGTCTGCAGATCACTGCTGTCACCACTGCACTTAAATCTCACTGGGATTGGGGCCAACCTGCTGCTGCTGCTTGTTCTAACTTGTTTCCTGTCCTGCAGAGAAAAGCTCAGGAGCGTCAAATCGACAGCACTGACTGTCAGATGTCACCAGTGGCCGTGGGATCACTCCTGACTCCACCCAGCAGCACAGAGAAATCAGCCAATCCCTGAGCAGGACATGACCAGTGACTTGGACACTACCTCTCCTGATGGCTGACCTCTGACACCTCAGCAAAACGTCCTGTAGCATGTTTGAATTTTGTTTTTAACACTAAGTTCAGCTGTAATGAGAAGTGTGAGCACGGAGACTGAGGAAGTTAAGTCAACGCTTTTGTTTGTTTAACAATTTACTGATAAACCATTCAGAAGTTTGGTCCGACTCAGACATCCACTGGTGACAAGTGGAGAAGCTGCCAGGAAACCTTAGTTTTTAACAGTTTTGAATTGAGAGGAAACAGAATTCTGCAGCTACCAGGACTGAGAGTTTTACTGGTGCTAGTCTGTGGAAACTGCAATGCTTTCAAATGGTGCTTCAGTCAAATTCTCAGGAAGACGGAGAGGGCGAAATCCGATTGTCTGCTTTTTATTCCTCTGAACTGGGGGGTTTACTGTGTTTTAAATTACCATATGTCTGAACTCCTTGGAAATCTCTAGACAAGCAGGCTAATATTGATGGCGTCAGACAGGACGTCTGCTCTGTAGCCACAGGAATCAGCTGCAACTTGGTTGCACATTCGTGTTAACATTCCTGGGAAACTTGACAATTGTATAGACGTCTTGCTTTATCATTTGTAAGTGCTTGTATTTATTAAGCCTTAATTTGTAAAGGAAAAATGTTCATATGTAAAAATCTTTCAGCCGTGAATGAGCTCAATTTGATCAGTGCCAAAGGCAAAGTATTTATGATTCTGTTCCGACATCTGCTAATGAGTTAGTTTGCTAAATGTCGTGTCTTTGTGCCTTTCCAATACAAACATGAACTGTTTTACCTGACTGCAGCTGAGAGACAGCCCATGCCTGTCCCCAGCTGCAGCCAACCGTCTAAACTTCATGTACAGGCTGCAGATTGTACATAGAGCAAGTTATGAATGTGTACTTTTATATTGGAAGGTCTTTAATAAATGAAATGAAACAAGTGACGGCTGAATTTGGGGGGTGGGGGAATAAGGTTAGTCATTTTATATGTTCAGACTAAAACAATGAACAGCCTTTATTCAATGTCGGCATCTGTGCCGCAGACCTCTGTTGTTCAGAATCAGTGTAACATGTCACTGCTGGGTGACATGTTCCTCAATTACAAAACACCAGGCCCACATTTGTGAAAATGTTAAACATCTTGCTACTTCAGACACTAAAAACTTGTGGCTGTGTAATTGTTTGACCAACAGAGGTTTGTGGCACAGAAAATCTAATCCAGGACTGACAACAGTGAACAGAGGAAGTTCATCATTTTAGTCTGGGGAGTGTTGAAAAGACTTGGAGAAAATGACCATCCTTTAAGGGCGACAAACTAAAAGCTGCTTCAACCTGCAAAGCTATGAAAATTAACTGGTGTAGGTATCAAAAAGAATCAATTTTAAAAACTTTTTTTTTTTGGATAGCTCACCAGGGGAAGAATTAATAAGGGGTGAGAACCAGACAACATCCTCACACTGATGGCATCAAACTACAGACAGACACCTGTACACAGGAAAAACATGCTACCAAACATGGGTGATTGCAGTGGTTACTGCTTGGCCTCGTGACCCTGTGAGGACCAGTTTGAGTTCTGCCACGTTTAACAGTTGTAGTGTGGACATCTCTGGTCGTCACCCCTTCAAAGGCTGTTTGGTTTTAGCTTTCAGGTTTAGCTCAAGTAAAACTTTGAATACAGGACTTTAACAGACTATTTCTCCACGACTGTAGTCCCAAGTACTCCGACTACACTGTTTAGTGCTGATTAGCTAGCAGGCTGCTATACTAACAGGCTAAACTAAGACAATGAGCAGGTTAGCTCTGGGCACATGCTAGCATGGCTGTGCCTTGTAAAACCTCAGTCCTGAGACCAAAAGACATCTGCTTATCGACTTGAGGTGTCACTGAAATCAGCTGATCACTTAGAATAAATAAGTTATTTTTACTGAGGTCACTTAAGAATAAACAAGCTGCTCTGATACAAGATTTGTTTTTAGCTGTAATCTGAACATCTGAGTTCATCTGTTAATTAAAAAAGAAAAGTAAAGATGCACACTGGGTCATGACAAGACTGGAATTTGTCATTTTTGATACAGACATTGGAGGTTTTATGTACAGGTGTACAATTAATCAAAATATAACTGGCCATGTAACAAATGCAGTTAACTCGAGGAAAGGCTGACCTTTTGTGTTGATATTTAGACCATATATTACTCTGTCTTTTAAGCACAGCACCTTGGTCCAGGGCAAACTGCAGATGCCAAGCAGGACTGTGGATAGATATTCAAAGTGTTTCAGTGAGCCAGACAGACTGGGGGCTGCTCCTCCTGTGCAGGGGATTAGAGACAATACACAACAACCAGATAAGCTGTGGAACCCCCCAACACACATACTATAAGGACCCTCACTAATCTAACACATCCCCTAGTCCCTTGCTCAAACATTAATCTGAACCTCTAACTTTAACCCTGAACCCAAGTCCTAACCCTTAAACTGTCCTTCAGAGCAGTGAGAACTGGACATGTCCTCACAAAGACAATTACACAGCAGCTGGATCGGAGCAGGACAACCTCCATCCATTGTATGTAAAACGCTTCATGTCAACGCAGTGTCTGCTCCGTCTGTTTGTCAGGAGGGTGGGGGCGCCAAGACGCCGACTCAGAAACATTAACACTGAGTCTGAACATGTTTAAGGCTCAGCATGAAGCTGTAGTGGAAAGCAAGTTTGGGACAACTTGGTTTTCTCTTGTATCAGTGTCTTTCCATAGTCACTTGTCCAAATCTGTGTATGTGTGTCTGAGAAAGGACTGGTTCAAAAAGCCCTGCATGGGCATGGATGGATCACTGACTGGGCTAACAGGCAGACCAGCACCCAGTGCTGTGCAGTTGGACCTCACCACACAGGGGCACTGTAGCACCACATCAGCACGTCCTGTGACGTTTCTCTTCCAGTCAATACCCAGTGCGTCAGGGCCTGTTTTTGCTGGAGCTCTTTCTTCTATGAATTAACAGAATGAGGATACAGAGTGTTGTATGGGCTGTATACACTGTGTCACATCCAGCAGTCCTGCCGTAAATCCTGTTTCATGAAGGTGATCATTTTTAACCTTTATTTATCCAGGGTGGGTTCCCTGAGAGGCCACCTGTGTTGTTCCCATTCACACCTGGAAGCTGCACAGTACAAGCCACTGAGCAGCTTCACAGGAGCTGTCGGGGTTAAGGGCACCACACTGGTGTTAATCAGGGTGGGGCAAGCTGAACTGAATTGAACTGAAACTGAACCTGCGACCTTCCGCTCACAAGCTCATTTCTCCATCCTTTAGGCCCATGTTCAGTTTGCGTTCAGACAGTTTCACAGAGGTGTTGGTCCACCTCTGTGGTCACTGTGGAGGCTGTAGTTTATGCTGCTGTTCAGCTGCACTGTGTTATAGTGAGAGCCGTTTCCATTATTGTGTCCACCCCATTTATATCATTGAAACTACAGGCTAAATAACAGAGACAGCTCTCTGAAAAAATTTAAACACAGACACTGAACAGCACCACCTTCAGGAGGGAGGATTTACTGCAGGACTGTTGGGTTCGACTGACTTGGCCTGAGACAGGGGTTCCTAATAAACTGACCACTGGGTGTACACAGATACATGCAAAAGATTTTGTTGATTTTTGAAGTGAAAAGCAAACGACATTAAAATTGAGCCTTCAAAAGTTAACACACTGGTACTTTTTACTTCATGAACTTAAGTAGCAAAACTTCAACATGTTCAGGCGCCTGCTGAGTCAGGACTTTTATTATTAGGACACTAAATTATGGTTCATTCCAACAATTCCATCGTTTTTCACTGCAGGATTAAAACACTGAGTTGCATGGTGGAAATTTTACAGAAAGTCAGACTTATTTTATTTAAATTGCAATAATCATTCAGTTGTTACAAATCAACAGCTGCAGTTAAACAGATTTTTTTTTTAAATGCTCACAATTTGCTTCTTCGCAGTCCTCCAGTGTGTAGACTTTGCAAATGCTTGGTCTGGACAGAAGATGACAACTGAAGACAATGTCTTGGAATCGGAGAGCTGGAATTTTTCCCATTTTCATAGAAAATAATGGGCAGATTCAGCAATAATTAAAATAACTGTTAATGGACTTTATATTTGTAAACATGTACTAACCAGTGTGACCAGTGCTCTGTTTCACAGCGAGACTGTCTTGACTGACTATCCTGTGTGAGGAGAGACACCGACACAGTCTCTTTCCTTTTTACCTTCAAATCAAAGCTGAAGGACCAACAGCACAACTGAGCTTTTGGGGAAAAGCCTTTTTATTACAAGTCAAATACAAAAGGAAGCTTCTGTGTTAAGTTGCTATAAAAATGTCCATATGTGCATCATATACAGAACAGCAGTGCTAAATAACACTTCACACTCTTGGTCTAATAAATGTGTGAACACAGAATCACACACCTGCTTTAAAAATACTGGATTTATGACAGACATCAGATGTTGCACACAGGACAAGTCACAACATCTGGAGCGTCCCCTCAATTTGTACAAAGACACCTGTGAGGTCTCATTTGGATGCATAGCTTCGAGTACAATTCTCTGAGAGCTCACATGACTTTTTACTCAGAAGACAAAGAAAAGCTGCACCGCTGTGGAGAACACCACCCTCCAAGCTAAAACCACAGCATCTCTCCAGCAAAGACTTCTGGATTAAACAAAGATTTAAGGAATTTAATTCCTGTTCTACAAATGTATTCTGGCAAAGTGTCGTTCAAAACCTCCAGATAACTGGATTTGTCATTTACCAGCTGAGGACTGACACATGCACTTCTCCATCACATAACACTCACAACTAACTGATTGTACTCTGACTTCTGCCACAAGTCTCTTAAGAACTTTGATGTTTCCTCGCTCTGCTTTATAAAACTACATTCATCAGGCAGCTACCTGACAACACGCAGCTGAGAGGTAGGCTGGGAAAGAACAGACACCACCCACCACACCGCTCTGCACAAACACTCCAGATTTCAGTTGGTTAATTTAGAGAAGGGAGAAAAAAAATCTCTCTCTATAAATCTCACAACAGGCTGTTTGAAAAGTGGACAAAGTGTTTGTGTCGTGCCCAGGTGGAAGGTAAACGCTGGAAACTCCCGTCATGTAGGAGTCTAGACATGAAGAAACTGCTGAGTGAGCACAAAACTAATGGATGAATCAGGTTGTTGCCAGGCAGAAAAATAAACAAACAATCTGTTAAGGAGTTTAATTTCTATAAGCAAACTCTGCTCCAGCTTCTTATTGACTAATCACATGATTGTAGTTGAGATGCGAGCATAAAGAAGAGACGCCACTTATCAGCATCTGAAGCTGCGTCAAACTGCAGACGCCTTCACCAGATCTGCTCGTTGTCAGGGTGTTTTCTGTACAGGCCTCATGCAGCTCAGAATAAACTGCAAATGTTTGGTTCATTCCAGAGTAGTGGCAAATTGAAGCATGATTTGTGTGACCTGCAGCTCAGAGAGTGGACGTCAGTGTCTCATCACTGTCACACTACCAGTCTGCAGCTCCAGTGTGGACTTGACACCGATTACAGCCTCTGTTTGTTTTGTGCTTCTTCACCAGTTCCACCATGACTACATCTCTGCATGCATGAGGCTCATCTGAGCAGCTCTACCTGCTGCTGCTGCCATCCGCATCACCACAGTGGCTGATGGAGTTCGACCCTCCACGGTGAGGCCACTAACTGCTGCCTCCTGTGACACCATGCAACACATTCACACAATGCACAACCAACCGAAAGCTTCTGGAGGGTCTTTACAAGAGCGTACAAAAATAATCTGAAAACTATCAAAGCTCAGTGCACATGTTGGAGACACTGGGATAAACAGCTCATCTTTTTACTGGCAGATTCTTCTCTGAATCGTCCTTTAGTGCAACAGGTAGAAAGAAATTCAGATTTCACCGAGGAGCTGGTGAAACTGTGGAAAGGGAGACAGCAGCAGATGTTTCTGAAGAAAATAAAAGTAAAAGAAAAGCTTGTCCTTGAGGGACCCTTCTTTGTGAATCAGCATTTTTTGTTGGTAGGTTGTGATGAAGGGTCACATTTAAAACGGTCAGGAGGAGCTGAAAAGATGAAATTGTTGTATTAAAAGCCCTTAAAGAGGAACTTTGAACTCGAACTCTTTGTAAGACACATCAAGGCCTTAATGCTGCTGCTGGAATGAATGAACCAGAATCATTCTTCAACACAGTCACTCACAAGATTTCTGACACAATCTGATGGTAACGCTCCTCCAGACAATATGAAAAACTGCCACCTCTGACCCTGAAAGTTAAGGACAAACCAGCGACCCACAAACTGCCAACAAATAAAATAAATACAGCATATTGAACTGCTTCAAACAAAGACATAAAAGCTAAATAAATAAAGTTGTATGGCATTTTCCCAAGTAAATCTGGTTCAAGAACAAGTTCTCTCTGCACCGTGTTGTTTCGAGCCTCGCTCCGGGTTCAAACACAAACAAACACCTGGAGCACAGAGCCACTGCGTTCATGTCACAGTGTTTCACAGCTAACACAAGTATGACAACATCTGGTGTTATTTTGGCAAACAAGAAGTGGCTGATATTTAAAGTCTGTGGACTCCTGTATCAAGAGCTTAACGGTTGACTACAGAAAAGTGATCTGCAGCTATGTTGTTAATCAATAGATGTTTTAATGAGTAAAGCCTATCAATCACTGTCACTGGGAACTGCTATGTTTTGTTTTTTTGTGATGGAAAGTTGAATATTTTGAGTTTTATTGTTCAGACTAAACCAGACACCAACTTGAGCTTTCAGGGATGGATTTTTTTTTTCTTTTTACTAGTTTGACACTTCTTAGATCAAATGATAAATCAACAAAATAGTGTTCAAATTAATAAATAATGACAGTTATTGTTTGTTGGTGCTAAACTATCACACAAAGAGCACTTTTGCTTCACTATTGTATTTTAAACTAGTAAATTGGTTTAAAACACATTACTCTGAGTACAAACTAGTTTGCTTATATTTGGTCAGTGAGAATGTGCTCAGTGTGTTTATTCTGTATGTACCGATGACACGCACTGCTGTGAGCAGGTTGGTCAGGTATCAGATCCCTCCTGAGCTCAGTTTTTCCTTACAGGCCAGATTTGTCTTAAACATGTGGTGCTGTGGAAACTGACTTGGGACTTGCAGAGACTACACTGTATTATTGGTTTGGTGGATTTTGAATATTTACATTTCTTTTGGACGTTTCTACAAACTAAACAGTTAACAGTGTGAACACCACTTAACACGGAGCCACAAAACAGTCACCACTATTCGATTTCACTCACATTACAGGTCTCTGCTCTGTATCTTGGCCTGTTCCTCTGGGAGAGCTGATACAGCTGAATGGTTGGTCCTGCCTCTCATCAGTTCCAGCAGCCAATCACAACTGAGGATTCTGAGTGGAGGGCAGTGCTGCAGCCAATCACATGTACTCACACAGGTGCATTCAGTTGTTGTCACTGATTGGACCCTGTTCAGGATGTGTTTCAATTACCGCTTTCCCACCAAATGTGCTCCTAGATCTGATTCAAATCTGATCTTTGACGATGTTTAGGAGTTAATTAAGACCTGTAATGTAAACATAGCCTTGTATTAGCTTTGCTGCATCTGTGGATGGGACAGAGAAAACTGATAATTCAGAATTCCTTTCATACGAGTCCAGTTTGCATCAATTCTCTGTCAGTTTTAAATGTGCTCATCGATCCTGGGTTGGTGTTTACATTAAGGCACAGAATTCAGACCTTTAAACCTTTTTTCTTGTGTATGTGAAACAGTTTGTGTCAAAACACAGATGTCTGATCAGTGAATCTTATCAGTCCACTTCTGTTTTATTTCAAATGCTTAGCTTGCCTTCTGACTACTTTTGCTGCCTTTTTCCCCACAGCTTGCTTCTGTGTTCAAATAACTATGTGTGTTTTTTTCTCGTCTGGCTGAACCCTTCCCTGACACAAACATTTAATCAAACAGAACTGAAAGTGTTGGTGTGTTTGGACCAATGTGGACATGTGATGTGACCTCGGTGAAGTGTCAAACAGCAAATCCAACCATTTTATCCAGCAACAAGAAATAAAAATGATCACACTGGATTCAGGGCTGATTTGAAAGTAAGTTGTTCCAGACAACAGTCAAGGTTGGATTATCAGATGATCATAGTGACTGGCTGCTCATAACCTCTTCATTATTAGGCTACCTGTCTTAGCAGTTTTGTAGAGAACACCGGTACATACCATGTATATATTCGTATTTGTGTCTGAACAAATAACCACATGCAGGTTGTTTTTTATTCAATCTGTGTAGATGAGGCTGGGGGAAGATTCATACGCTCAAATTCCATTTGTTTTGCCGTTTTTGCCAGAATTTTGCCTGATGGTGTGTAAAACTAGAGCAGATTATAATTTTGTGATACTGTAATATGTGACAATTTCAGAAAATATTCTTTTGAACATTATATTGATTTTTAGCCACATCATTCAGTCATTGACTTGTTTGTTGCTGTAGTTGCAGATGTGACATGAAAGCAGCACTGACTCCCTCTCCCTACCACTACCAGCCCGTGCAGCGCCCCCTAGTGGTGGTGAGGCAGGGGGTCATGGCTGTGGCTTTTCTCAATATAGGCTGCTGCGTCCCTGTATCTGAGGGCCAGTTGGGGCCGGTCGTACATCTCGCTCAGAGCCTGGAACTTGGGCCCCCAGCGTGACAGTGTGTCATAAACGAGCCCTGCTTCTTCATCTTCCTCCTCCTCCTCCTCATCATTGGACCGAGCAGTGGAAATGTTTCGACAAGACATAGCTGACCCCAGTGAGCTGAGGCTTCCTGCCGACGACCCCGAGCCCTCCACACACCAGACGTGGTACGCATCCGGCGGGAACTCCTCGCTGTCATTGTCTGCCTCCCAGATGATTCGAGCCACATAGCTCTTAAAGTCCACATGAGAGCGTGACCGTGGTTGAGCAATGCCTCCGTCATTCGTCTCTATGTCTCTGCCTGCAGGAGTGGTGTAACTGGCGTAGGTTGCATCACTGGTGTAACTGGCAGTGGTGTGCTGATGGTGATGTGGGATGCTGAGGTAGGGGACACCTGAGCTGCAGGAGGAGCCAGGCGGGTGAACATCCTCCCGCGAGCCTGGAGAGGACTTAATCAGTGGGGCGGTGGTGCAGGACGAGGACTGGGACAGACTGGAGCACAGGGGACGCTTCAGCTCTGTGATGTCATAGGCGTTCTGGAAAGACACGAGAACATATGCATTCTGGAGTTATGGTGTATTATTACTATTAGTATTGTACACAGTTAGTGGTATTTAATGGTTGTGTCTTCACAGTAGAGCTGAGTATCAAAACTGGTTCTGAACTGGTCTGTGGACCCTTCAGATTCTCCTTACCATTAGTCAAGTCAAGTTTGGAGCTGCTGCACTCTGGTTTCATCAGTGGGTTATATACAGCATGTGTCAGTGTGGTGATGCTGTTAAATTATTAAATGGGCATGATACACTCCTGTGAAACCCATGTGGTTTAGACTTTTATTTTGAAGTGGACAACAACAAACACACTGTATTTTTTTTCCTTCACACAGTCATTAGTAATGTTTAAAACATGTCAGGCCACTATGCCATGTGCTTATCTAGATTGTATTTTTGAGTATTCACCTTACACACACACACACACACACACACACACACACACACACACACACACACACACACACACACACACACACACACACACAGCATTAAATATTACTGTTCATTTTGTTCAGAATTTTCTTTTTCCAGCTCAAGGTCTGCTCACTCCAATTTAAAACTAAACTCACAGCTGCAAATACTTTTCTTTCAGAAGCATTAACTTTGACCTCTGCGTGTATGTGTGTGTGTGTATGTGTATGTGTATGTGCGTACCTGGTCCTGTTCCCCGCCTCCCTCCTCATTGTAGTTGAGGATGTTTTCTCGGATGTCCTCCCAGCTCTCATGTTCA